TAACAAATACAATGATATACTTATACATATAAATAATTTTCATATCAAATAAAATAATTCAGTAGTGTGTTTCCGGCCTGAAATAGTGACAGAGTAATGTAGAGATAATTTATGGTGATTTGTGATCTCGATTTGATATGTCATGTAATAGGTGACAAGGAGAAATTATTCAAATATAATAACTCTTACTTTTATGTCATATTTCTTGTAGGTACTTAAATAAATCTATGTCAGCAATAACATGGCTTAAAATGAAAATATTATAGAGACTTGAAGCTAACAAACATTAGTTTTATTCCAGGAAAATATAGAATTTTGGAAATAATTATTTATTAATGATCCTACCTTCTATTTTAATAGCATTCTATATAGGAATAAAACCCTATTTCCGTTGGGTATTAACTCGGCATCAATAGGCTGAGCATTATTGAACCTTATTCACTATTCGTCGAAATAATACCCAATAAGCCTGGCAAAAGGGTATCGAAAAACACGAGCACAATCGTTCCACATGCGAAACGAAATCGATATTATAGGAAGCTTAAAATAAGCTGAAACCCTACACATATTTTCCATTTTTTTTTTTCGTTGTCGTCAATCAATCATTTTTTGCATAAACAGCATACATGTTTGCGAAGCCATTACGAGAGATGTAGTTTAAAATAAATATCTCGTGTTACTCTGGTTTGAAGTCTTGACAGTATGTATTGGCAGGAACAAATCATCAATTTCAAATTGATGAATATTGATTTCGTGATGTTCAGATACAGGATCTAGTAGTGCGAAGAAGCCTAAAAAAATCAACTTTCGCAAACATTCAAAAGAAAAAACGCATTATAACATACTTATGAATTTTTATATCAAAATCCGATAATGATAAAAATTTGAAACTTTGTGAGTCCATAGAAGAAGGTTAGAAGTATCTTATAGCAAAATCTCAAATTGATTTTTTTTCAATTAAAAAATATCCAAAAAAAGTGAGATGTATTAGCAATAGTCCTAGAGAAAACTGAATTAGTCGATTCCAAAATCCTGGAATTCTCATATCTTTCATATTTAAGATCCTTAGTAGAATCCAGACAATGAAACTAATCTAGTGATGTGTTTTCTGTAGCCAATGATCGGGCAAACTGTTATGTCATAATAAGGCAAATCCTCGGGCAAATCCATCAAAACTAAAAAGCTTCCTCAGTATCGAAACTGTAAAGATATCATTATTTTGGTTACCGTCACAATAACGTAGAAAACTACCGAATAGTGGACCCAAGGGGTAAATCATTCTTCAAAGGGTAATTTTTTACGCATAATTCCTCAAAATTCCTGCAAATTCCTCTAAATTCCCCACAAATTCCTGCAGATACACCATCACAAATTTCTCCAAATACCGCACCACAAATTTCTCCAAATACCCCACAAATTCCCTGCAAATTCTTCCAAACTCCTCATAAATTTCCCACAAATGTCTCTTACAAATTCCCTAAAAATCGCCATAATTGCTTGTGATATGCACTAGAGAAGAGAAAATACCTGCTAAGTCCATAATTTGGCCGTTAGTAAAAATACATTTATTCAATTCAATTCAAATTTTTCCAGTAGAAAATAACAACATGAGGAATTTTGAAAATCAACTTACAATAACTGAATTAATTGAAAATACAGTCTCACACATTTCAAAATTTTCCTGGAAAACTAGTGAAAGGAAAAATTTGGAACTTTTTGTATGTAAAGAGGAAGATAAGAAGCTCATTTTCCCAAAATTTCAAATTTTTCCAGTGGAAACTAACAACATGAAGAATTTTATAAATCAACCTACAATAACTGAATTAATAAAAAATACTGTCTCACACAATTTAAAGTTTTCCTGAAAAACTTGTAGAGGGAAAATTTTGAAACTTTTTGCATGTAAAGAGGAAGATGAGAAGCTCATTTTTCCAAAATTTCAAATTTCTCTAGTGGAAAACAGCAACATGAAGAATCTTGGAAACCAACCTACAAAAACTGAATTAGTTAAAAATACAATCTCACACATTTCAAAATTTTCCTGGCAAACTAGTGAAGGAAACTTTTTGCATGTAAAGAGGAAGATGAGAAGCTCATTTGCCCAAAATTTCCAAATTTTTCCAGTGGAAAATAACAACATGAAGAATCAACCTGTCAAAAACTGAATTCGTTGATAGTACCGTCTCACACATTTCAAATTTTTCCTGGAAAACTAGTGAAAGGAAAAATTTGAAAATTTTTGCAAGAGAAGAGGAAGGTTAGAAGCTCATTCTCCCAAAATTTCAAAATTTTCAATTAGATAATAACAACATGAGGAATCTTGGAAATCGACCTAAGATAACTGAATTAATTGAAAATACAGTCTCACACATTCCAAAGTTTTCCTGAAAAACTAATGAAGGAAAAATTTTGAAACTTTTTGCATGTAACGAGGAAGGTGAAAACTCATTTTCCCAAAATTTTCAAATAGATAATAACAACATGAGGAATCTTGGAAATCAACCTACAATAACTGAATTTATTGAAAATACAGTCCCACACATTTCAAAGTTTTCCCGGAAAACTAGTGGAGGGAAAATTTTGAAACTTTTTGCATGTAAAGAGGAAGGTGAGAAGCTCATTTTCCCAAAATTCAAATTTTTCCAGTGGAAAATAACAACATGAAAAATCTTGGAAATCAATTTCCAATAACTGAATCAATTGAAAATACAGTCTTACACATTTCAAAGTTTTCCTGGAAAACTAGTGAAGGCAAAAATTTAAAACTTTTTGTATGTAAAGAGGAAGGTTAGAAGCTCATTTTCCCAAAATTTCAAAATTTTCAAGTAGATAATAACCCCGATAATAACAACATGAGGAATCTTGGAAATCAACCTACAATAACTGAATTAATTGAAAATACAGTCTGACCTCGAGTCTGACACATTTCAAATTTCTCCTGGAAAACTAATTAAGGGAAAATTTTGAAACTTTTTACATGTGAAGAGGGAGCTCAGAGGCTCACTCTCCCAAAATTTCCAATTTTTCCAGTGGAAAAGAACAACATGAAGAATGTTGGAAGTCAATCTTCACTAACTGAATTTCTTGATTGAAAATGAATGTCCAACGATCAACACAAAACTAGATTTTTTTTCAAATTTCCATTTATTAGTGCTTCTTCTAATAAGAATGTGAACCTCAATGCCGTCATGACTCTACAATTTCCCTTAAATTCTTCATAAATTCCTCACAAATTCCCCATAAATTTTTCCGAATTACCTATAAATTCCCCAAATTCTCAAAAATTTCGATAAGTTCCTTCAAATTCTCCATAAATTCCTCAAAATTTCCCACATTTTTGGCAAAGAATTCCTAGGTAGTTTGCCCCTCGAGTGGACTAGTGCGGCACGAAAAATCAAGTTGAGAACCTAAATTATTAAAACGAGGAAAAGCATAACAGAGATAGATACATTGAAGCGAAAAAATCCTCCTTATATATCCAGAAATATATCGGTATCAAATTTAGAACAAAAAAATCTCTAATCTAATCTGAAGCTCAATAACCAACACAATAGATAAGGTGTTTTGATTAAAAGTTTGTTCATCTAATACAAAATGATTCATTTTTGTTGCAAACCTTAAATGAGTGAAAGTTTTATCAGTTATATTTGAATATTATTATGTTTACATGTTTTAATTGAGTAATAATTAAGGAAAAATGGTTATTAGTCAACCTTTCTTGGCCAAGGTAAATCAATTATTATTTTTACAATTTTCTACAATAATTAACTTCTTTATCTTTTCTTTTACCTCAATTTCATCTTGTTTCTACATATAATTTTTTTTAAATAATGTGTTTCTCCTTATTTTCATAATAATATGGTATGTACTTTTTCTGTTCTCTATAATTTATTTGTCAAGATATTATCTTTAGGAAGCCTAAGATAAATACAATAGAATTATGACGTCTTTTGTTCTTAATTTTATCTTGAAAACCTATTTATCCAAAAAAGGAAATGTGTATGTATGTGTTTTTGTTTAGATTTTAATCTTTGAATTTGTAATGGAATAATGTTATTATTTATTGAATTATTGTTGTTTACTTTCAAATAACATATTATAAGTATCCTATGTCGATTAGATGGAATAATTTGGAAAAATAAATAAACTAGTCAAAACGAAATAAGGGCCACTTTTGAAAACCCATTTATTTTTAATGAATTTTGAATAACCCTGGTAAAGTGTTTATTTCCATTTACAATATAAATTTTTTGTGCACACTTTATTTGTTTATCTATACTTATTGTAAATGGAAATAGTCACTTTACCAGGGTTATTCAAAATTCAATGAAAACCTGCTCTTAAAAATGGTCCTTATTTCGTTTTGAGTAGTATAGTTTATTATCAATTAATTTATAAAATTTCTAATTATAACTATTAGTAATTGATAAGGTATTTCTTCAAAGTGATAAATAATTGAAAAATTGAAAATCCGATATTATTAATACATACATGTAATAAATTATCTGGCTATTAAAAAGCAAAAGCCAAAGTGTTCTTGAAAAATTACAGTGGGACAATAATTGGAAATTTCTGTTTCTGAAACACCCTATATATTGAGAATCGATTTTTATTCAAAATTCACTAGACTCAATTATTAGCCTGATTTTTTATCAATTTTAACGAAAAATTGATTGTTATTAAACTAAACTTATTATAGGCACAAGTAACCCGAAGAGAAATCAAACCGTTCATCTGTGACCATTCCTCGTATTTATTAACTGTTAAAAACGGGCGATGGATTGCGAATGCTTTTATGGGCGTTTTTTATGGCTGCAAAGTAAAAAGATTCTTCGGTTACTTTAAATGATCCGTGAAATTCGAAGTGAAAGAGTTTGTTTTAAGGAGTTTACGACCGCTACCAGTTGAAAATTTGTGATTTTAATACAAATGAAGCTAGAAGAAAACAACCCTAGTTTCCTTTTGGTTCAAGTTTTACCAATATAATTTTTTTTTTGCAGAAGGTCGATCCAGAACTGATATTCACGAAACAAGAACGTATCGGCAAAGGATCCTTTGGCGAAGTGTTCAAAGGTATCGACAATCGTACCACGCAAATTGTGGCCATCAAAATAATCGACTTGGAAGAGGCCGAAGATGAAATCGAAGATATCCAGCAAGAGATTATGGTGCTGTCGCAGTGCGACAGTCTCTACGTCACCAAATATTTCGGATCCTATCTTAAGGTAAGAATATTATCTTATGAATCGCATTTATTTGATTGATTTTCTTTGTCGATCTGAATTGAATGTCCTAAAATCTAACTTATTGAAAGTGTAAAAATTCCAAAATAACGTTGTTCTGGTTATACCACAAAAGCAAATTTTCATCTGAAACAATTTCGACAAACCTACAAAAAAAAATAGTCGATTCTTCCAAGACAAAAGACTTTCACTTTCGTTGTACGCGGCCTCGAGAACAACAAAACAAAAAAAAAACGCACGAGAAAAGACCCACGGCACGGCCAAATTAACCAGATTTACTTAACCCAATTACAAGAGTAATTACACCTTTGGGTCAGTAACTGTATACTTGTTTTTACTACAGAAAATTTAAAGAGGTTATTAATTTGTCATTTCATAATGTGTTATTCAAATTAGGTAGGTATATGGTATATTGAATACGAAATAAATAGTTTTCGTTATAATGCAAGTCCTATTAAATGTTTTTCCTTTGATTGCTTTTCTATAGTTTATTCGACAAGAATATACAGTGAGCAGTATATTTTGAAGTTGACAGTGTCTTGTCGAATAAACTATAGAACTCAGCATAAAATTTTAATGTGTTTTCTGCAAATAAATATTGTATGACTATTATTATTATAAAGGACAACAAATTTTTGTGCAAGATATTCAATGAGGGCATAATAGTCCGGGGGCCGAGGACCTTTTTTCCAAATCATTAATAACAAGGTAGTTTTTTCAATGCAGCTTCATTTCACCTAGACGCCCAACTTTTTTCTCTTCGAAAATTGCGAAAACAGGTAGCTAACATACTGCGCAGGTGTAAAACATGTCGATTTGGTGACTATGAAAATTTAATTAATAACAGTTAGTTTTTCAGCTAAATGTTGAGATAATTTTATGAATAATTTGAAACATTTGTCCGACAAAATAAAGGGTTTGGTCTACGATGTCCCCCCCCTCAAACATGTAGCAATTACGTTGCATAAAAAATGATTAATAACAAGTTGATTTTTTCAATGTAGGTTGGTAAATATTATTACAATTAAATGGTCACACTGTCCTACAAATAAACAGGTAGCTATTTTCAGTCCTACACTCAAAAGTTGTCGATTTCACGATTTAACTTTTTTCATTAATAACCGGCTAAATCTTCGTGAGTATCTTCATTTTGATAAGACGCCCAAATTTTCTGTTGCGAAAATTCCAAAAACAGGTAGCTAACAGAGTGCGCAGGTGAAAAACATGTCTATTTGGTGATCATACAAATGTAAATAATAACAGTTAATTTTTTAGCTGAATGTTGAGATAGTTTCATAAATAATATGAAACAACATTTGTCCGACAAAATAAATGGTTTGATCTAGGCTGTCTCCCTTCTCAAACATGTAGCAGATAAGTTACATAAAAAATGATTTATAACCAGTTGATTTTTTTAATATAGCTTAGTAAATATTACTACATTTAAATGGTTACACTGTCCTACAAATAAAGAGGTACATTTCTCCAGTCCTACACTCAAAAGTTGTCGACTTCACGGTAATACTTTATTCATCAATCACCGGACACCGGCTTAATCTTCTCGAGCATCTTCGTATTGATAATATGCCTAACTTTTCTATTGCGAAAAGTTGCAAAAGTAGTAGCTACTAGAGTGAGCACTAGTGAGCACATGTAAAATACCTTGATTAGGTGATAATGCAAATGTAATTATTAACAGTTAACAGTTAATTTTTCAGGTGAATAATGAGATAATTTTATAAATAATTCGAAATTCGATTTGAGCCACAAAATAAATGGTTTGGTCTTCAGTGTCCCCTTTTTCAAAAGTGTAGCAATTACTGGCTCATAAAAAAACGATTTATAGGTAACCAGTTTTATTTTTTTACTGTAGTTTGGTAAATATAACTACAATTGAATGGTCACATTGTCCTAAAGAGGTAAGATTTCTCAGCCCTACATTCGAGAATTTCGAAAATAGCCTTATGCATATTATACGTAAATATGTACAGGGCTTTCATTTCAAAACTTACCACCCACGTTATCTGCGTAAAGAGACAGATTTCTGGAAAAAAAGATTAAATTCAAGAATTTTACCTTTTGTATTTTGCAAAATATAATTATTAAAATATTTGATTTTTGATATTATTTGAAATGAACATACCTATCTCTTTTATTTTTGAGCTGTCGAGAAAATATTATTTGGAAAACTCCTGTATTTTTTTAAGTTCTACGTTATTTAAAAAGAAAAACTCTAACTTAGAAAACACCCTGTATTCACCCTATATACAGCAAAACAGCGCGCCAGATTTAATACATTAAAAAAGGAGCTCTATTTTTTTTAAATATCGTTAGAATTAAGATGAACCGGTTGGATCAAACCTTCTCCATCTGGGTATGGAAAATGACAAAGGGCATGGCCCCCTCTACTTTGATGGCATGCCAAAACTCTTTTTCGAGCAATTCAAATCTGGCACGCTTTTTGAATCACCCTATACTACGATACTGTGTTATTTACGAGCATGCGCGTCGATGCGAATGGAAACCATCGACATAAATGTAGGTATGTGTACATACACATAACACATATACTGTTATACACGCATCTGTATACGTACATATGTACATACAGGGGCTTTCATTTCGAAATTTGCCACCCACGTTATCTGCCTAAAGAGACAGATTTCTGGAAATCGCCGGAACACGTCAACAAATTAACGCACCCCCTCAATAAATTTGTTGACATGTTTCGGCGATTTCTAGAAATCTGTCTATTTACGCAGATAACGTGAGTGGCAAGTTTTGAAATGAAAGCCCTGTACATATTTACGTATAATATGCATAAGGCTATTTTCGAAATTCTCGAATGTAGGGCTGAGAAATTTTACCTCTTTAGGACAATGTGACCATTCAATTGTAGTTATATTTACCAAACTACAGTAAAAAAATCAACTGGTTATAAATCGTTTTTATGAGCCAGTAATTGCTTCATTTTTGAGAAAGGGGACACTGCTGACCAAACTATTTATTTTGTGGCTCAAATCGAATTTCCAATTATTTATGAAATTATCTCATTATTCACCTGAAAAATTAACTGTTAACTGTTAATAATTACATTTGCATAATCACCTAATCAAGGTATTTTACACTAATGCTCACTCTAGTAGCTACTACTTTTGCAACTTGTCGCAATAGAAAAGTTAGGCGTATTATCAATACGAAGATGCTCGAGAAGATTTAGCCGGTGATTAATGAAAAAAGTTAAATCGTGAAATCGACAACTTTTGAGTGTAGGACTGAAAATAGCTACCTGTTTATTTGTAGGACAGTGTGACCATTTAATTGTAATAATATTTACCAACCTACATTGAAAAAATCAACTTGTTATTAATCATTCTTTATGCAACGTAATTGCTACATGTTTGAGGGGGGGGGGGGGACATCGTAGATCAAACGCTTTATTTTGTCGGACAAATGTTGTTTCAAATTATTCATAAAATTATCTCAACATTTAGCTGAAAAACTAACTGTTATTAATTGAATTTTCATAGTCACCAAATCGACATGTTTTACACCTGCGCAGTATGTTAGCTACCTGTTATCGCAATTTTCGAAGAGAAAAAAGTTGGGCGTCTCGGTGAAATGAAGCTGCATTGAAAAAACTAGCTTGTTATTAATGATTTGGAAAAAAGGTCCTCGGCCCCCGGACTATAAGTATATTGATCTAAATTCTAGAGACTGTTTTAGAACATTATTGAACAAATCTAAGTACTGTAATGTAATAAACTTATATTGATTTTAACTGTTTTTGAATGAATGCATGTTTTCTGCATATCTTCTTCACTTACTAGATATTTGTATACAGGGTGTAAAAAAAATAGTGTACCGGACTTCGAGGGGTGATACTGCATTATATGAAAATAAGAAAAAAACTTCCTATGAACATATTATGCTCTTTAGTTTTGTGAGTAATTACCCTCTACCCTTATGGAAACTACCCTATCAGAACTGTTACGACTTTTTTCACTATCACCATACCACATTTCAAGGAAAATAGTTTGCCTACTGTTCTTGAAAATAAATAAAATCTATTATTTTCATCTACCGTTTGAAGGGCTGTAACCTCTTCAGGAAGCATTTTAGGGGATATGTTCAAAGAAACTTTATTTCTTATTTTCATAATTTGTAGTATCACCCTTCGAAGTCCGGTACACTAATTGTTTTTACACCCTGTATAATGATTTCAAAAATACATATATTGAATTCAAAATGTAAATTTTATGTACCAAGCTGTTCAATGCCGGTGATGTGTAATTATTTACTTTTGTTTAATAATATATGTGCCCAACGAGCTTTTACCTGTAATGGAACAATAATAAAGCGTCCATAAAACCATAGGCGTTGTTTAACTTTAGCTATGACTAATCATCGGAATGTATGTGCTAATGAAATAAAACAAACAAGGATTTAACTTTAAAATTATTGTAGGGGCTATAAACTTCCATCAGGTTGAATGTATGTCTAATGGAGTTTTTATCAGATAATTGGTAGGATTTAGGATTTAGGAATGATGTTTAAAATTTGTATTGTAGACTACCTTTTCTATATTTTACTTATTTGATAAAGCTAAATCTCCTCTTCTGCACATTTCATCTCTGTTCATTCTTCTAAGGCATGTTATAGAAGATGTCATTATCTTTTAAATAAAAATGTCCAGGTGAACCCTTCATAGGTTTCAATTCATTATCAAAATTAAATATACATCTGCAGATGTAAAATACCAAATTTTATCATTGATTGTCGGTTTATAAGAATTTCTTGCACGCCATAGAACAACAAATCAATTCTGATGCCATTTTGTAGCTTTCGTTTGACATTATTAAGAAGAAAATGGCGAATTTATTTAAGTAACATTTTTTATGTACCACCTACACTGTAAGAGCTTATTACGTAACTCATTTTAGCCTGTTTGAGTTATGTTATAAGTTGCATTATCGTGCTTA